CCCCTCCCCCCACGAACCAGGGCCTGCCACGGGGCAGAGGGACAGATTGTTCCTCCAAGCATCCTGACCTGGAATTCCTCTGGAGATGGGGCTTGGTGGAGGCTGGGTTGAGCCAAGGTCGGGACCTTGTCAGAGACTGTGGCCGTCCAGCACCTCTCGGAACTCTGGGAGCCCAGGACTTGCCCAGGCGCTCCCAGCCGCTCTCCGAGCCAGGATGACGGGGAGGAGCAGGAGTCCGCGTGGGGTCGGCCTGGCCACTGCTGCTGCCTCGGGGGCTTGGCTGAGGAAAGCTCAAGGGCTCTGCCTGTCGCCTGACACGTGCGTGGTGCGTGGTGTCCGAGCTCCACCCGGCTCCACCTGACTCCGTGTGGGGGCTGCTCTGTTTCACATGGGAACTCGGTGATTTGGAGGTCAAGTGCGTGCCCGAGGTCACCCAGCTCACGAGCGGAGCCAGGACATGCCCGGGAGATGCTCTGCGGCAACCCTCGCCTCTGCTGACACGTCCCGGGTGGACCGAGGCCAGGACGTGATGCTGCCTCGGACCTTCCCACCGGGTCTTTCCCAGCCTGGCGGAAACCAGCAGGGAGAGTCCTTCCCCGGGGGATTCAGCTTCTTGCGTTTCCCTGACCCGCGGGGGACACTTGAGCGGAGTCTGCCTTCCTCTCTCGGCCCCCACGCCCCCGCGGCCTTCAGAACCCATGCCTTGCCGGAACCGCCCCTTGGGGCCCTGCGTGTCCGGGGCTGGCGGCCTCTGGTGTCTGCTTCATAGCTGCTCCCCGTGTTCTCTCCCCAGCTCTGCCAGTCCCACTCCCAGTTGCTCCAGTACATGGAACGATACGGGTGAGGCACCAGCCCGCCCTCTGAGGGGAGGGAGCGTCCCGTGTCACCCTCGAGGGCAGGCATGTGGGTTCCCACCTCTGGCGCGGGTCGCGGGGGTGGATCCCGGTGCTGTTCGCATGGCGGGTTCCCAGCCAGGCAGCGAGGCCTTGGCGCGGTGCAGGCGGGGACCAGGCGCCGTGGGAGCACGCCTGTGGGTGTCTGTGGGTTTCTCCTCAGGAAGCGTTTGAAGGCCAAGAACCTGATGTACATTAAGCAGATCCTGTATGTGCTGGAGAAGTTCGTGACTGTGCTGGGGGGTAAGAGAGCCCCCTCCCCGTGCGAGCCCCGGCCCTGTGAGACCCCGGGCCTTCTTTTTCCTTGGACGCCGCTCAGGACACCTGGGTTGCCTGTGTCCCCAAGAACGGCCTTGGTCACTGATTCAGACGACTGCCACCCTTTATAGCTGAGTTGAGTTGAGTCGAGGTCTTTTTAGACCCCAGGTTTATTTGCCCGTGTTCTGGGTCCTGCTGTCTTGCCGGGCCTGCTCCAGCACCTCATGGTACAAGCGTCCAGCGTTTTTATAGCTGTCATGGTGCTTTGGGGTTTCAGAGCCCTTGCATGCAGGGTTTTGTTTGCCCTGTGAGGAAAAGCAACGCTGGCACGTTATTTTCTTTTTCCTTTTTTGTTCTTCGAGTTGGAGTCTCACTCTGTGGCCCAGGCTGGAGTGCAGTGACACCCTTACAGCCACTGCAGCCTCCACCTGCTGGGCTCAGGTGATCTTTCTGCCTCAGCTTTCTCTTGCCTCCGACTCCCAGAGGGCTGGGATTATAGGTGTGAGCCACCACAGCTGGCCATTTTATTTTTGTTTTTATTTTCATGTTAAAATTTTTGAATTGGAGTCTGATTCTGTCGCCTAGGCTGGAGTGCGGTCACACACTCTCACAGCTACTGCAGCCTCAGCCTTCTGGGCTCAGGAAGTCCTTCTGCCTCAGCCTTCCAAGTAGCTGGTACTACAGGCGTGTGCCAATTTTTTATTTCTTATAGAGGTGGGGTCTTGCCAAGTTGACCAGGCTTGTCTTGAACACCTGGACTCAGGCAGTCCTCTCACCTCGGCCTCCCGAAGCGCTGGGCTTACAGGTGAGTCACTGTGCCTGGCCTGCACCGGCATCTTACCCTGGTTTGTAGGTGAGTGACTGCATGAGCCCCCGGCGAGGCTGGAGTCTCCTGCCTCCAGATCCCGCCTGCTCTGTGTTGTCCTGCGCCGCCGGCCCTTCCCTTGGCCTGCGGGGGCTCCCCGGGAGAGACCTGCCTCCTTCGCCACTGGCCCAGCGCGTGGCCGGGGCAGCGCCTGGTGACTCCAGGCCCGGCAGCACATGAGCCGGCTGCTTCGCCCTGCCCCTCAGAGGAGGCCTGAGGAGCTTGAGTGTCGGACGTGGGAGGCTCCTGGAACCTCCCGCCCTCTCAGTGGCCTCTGCGTGCTGCCAACAGCAGAAACAAAGCCGATCGAAACTCTTCGAGCGTGACGCTCTTCTTCCTTGATGAGCGCAGTGTCAGGGGTGAGGAGACGGGGGCGTGGGGCCAGAGGACCCCCGTCCCGACCTGTTTCGAGTCTCTTTTGTAGGCAACACCAGGCAGAACCCCAGTACGCAGAGCCTCTTGCGGACAGGTAAGAGCTGCTCTCAGGGCCCAGGGCTGACCTGAGCCACTGCTGAGCTGAGTGCTGGGACCGAGCCCAGGCCCCAGGGTGAGGCCCCCACGGCGCTCTGTGTGTTTGCCCTTAGGGACCGAGCTGAGGACCATCAACGACTTTCTCTTCGAAAGCCAGGTGGACAACATCAACCTGTTCAAGGTAGAGGCTTTCACCTGTTTCTGTTGTGCCCCAGACTTCCTTCTGTTCACCGCCTGTTCTTAGAGTGCTGTGTTTAGACTATGGAAGGACTCAAGAGCAAATTCCTTCTGTCCTCCGACCACGTCAAGCCCGAGGATCTCAGCCTAGACATGTGTCCTTACTTAACGCTAAGGCAGGGCCCCCACAAGACTCAAGCCACCATCACTCTCCGGTGCAGGGTCATGGGGTGGGTGGGAAGGTGCCTTTGTTTGTGCTCCTAGGCACAGGTAGGGACTCCAGGTGTCCAGCCGCCGGACTCTGTCTCTGGCACAGTCCTTGCCCGGGCTTCTGGACAGAAGCCACACCCAGACTCGGGGCTGCTCTGTGTGACCTCCCGTCTCCTCCCATGGGCCTTGGGTTTGAGCGCAGCCTCAGACCTTTGCTCACGCCAGGCCTGTGGACAAGGTGCTGTCTTGGAGTGCAGCCACTGCCGCGTGAGTTCCACCCTGTGGCTCTCAGTAACGGCCACCTCCCCTGACAGGTCCTGCCTGTGTTCTTGGCGGTGTGCCAGATTCCATGACTCTGAGCTAAGGTGTACTGTGTGTACCATTGCCACTCACAGAGAGGAGACGGAGGGCCAGAGAGGTCACCCAGGAGGAGGATGGCACCGGCCTCCCATAAACGAGCTGGCGGCCGATGGCGGGCCCATGTCCGAGTCCAGGGGCACTGAGTCGAGGCTGCATTCTTTGGCTCTTTCCATCCTGGCTGGCCTTTTCTCTTGAAACCAGCTTTCCCCTGACTCGCTCGTTTGGGCCAGCGCCACTGCCGTCACCGTCTGATGTCTTCCTCCCCTTGTGTCCTGTGTCCACGCGGCGGCCAGGCCCGCTGGCTTGACTGAGCTCTGCACCCCCCACTCGTCACCCTGAAGCGCTGACTCGTGCGCAGACACCTTCCCCCTCGCCCTCCTGCCCACTCGCTTCGCCTCCTGCTTCTCACGTGCTGCGCTTTTCTGAAGGATGCCACTCTTTAGAAACCTGTGGAGGCGCCACACACCTCTCTGCCTTCCAAGCGGAGATCCGGCACCAGACGACGCGTGTCGTGCACGCTGGCCAGGCTCCACTCCCCTTGCCCCAGCAGGCCCAGGCTTCACCTCCTTCATGCCTTTACTCATAGGAGTTATTTTTTTTTTTTTGAGTCGGAGTCTCACTCCGTTGCCCAGGCTGGAGTGCAGTGGCACGCTCATGGCCACTACAGCCTCTACCTGCCGGATCAGGCAATCCTTCTGCCTCAGCCTTCCAAGAAGCTGGAAGCACAGGTGCATGGCACCACGCCCGGCTCATTTTTAAAATTTACTGTAGAGGTGAGGTCTTGCCGTGTTGCTCAGGCTGATCTCAAACCCATGAGCTCAGTCAGTCCTTTCGCCTCCACCTCCCAAAGTGCTGAGATTACAGGCGTGAGTCACCATGCCTGGCAACGTTTTAAACTCTTCATTCCTCAAGGACCAGCTCAGGTGCTGTCATCTGGAAGGAAAGCAGGGGGACCTTTACCGAGCATCCTTACAGAGGCTTGGGAGGCACCGAGACGCACTTGTGTAGAGCTGTGTCTGGGAGCCCAGCCAGGGCCTCTTCTCTGGGGAGGGTGCTGTCGTGGGTGGGGCCAGTGGAGAGGGGCGTCCACAGAGGGGGTCGACGGGGTTGGTCGTCAGGAGGCTCTGGGTGCCTCAGGAAATGGCCGTGCATAGTTCCTTGGGCGGCGGTCTGATGAGTTTAGACCGTGGCGTGCCAAGCACACGCACGTGCCTGCAGCAGGGTTTGCTTTTGCAGGTGCAGCGCTACTTTGAGAAGAGCATGGTCAGCAGAAAGGTACCTGCTCTGTCCTGTGGGCTCGGGTGGGATCTGGCCACCCCTGCCAGCTGCCCTCAGCGCTGTCCCCTCTCGCCCTTGGTAACTCCAGAGTCCTCTTGGACTGCCTTCTCTCTAGTGCGGCCAACCTTGCTGGGTGACGGGAGGCGGGCTGTAGGCTGCTGGCGCTGGGCCCTGGCGAGGCCTCCGAGCCGCCCGGTTTCTCTTTCCCGCGGCTTGTTCCTCACACTGCTGTCTCACCCTCCCCAGCTCTTTGGCTTCACAGAACGGTATGGAGCTGTCATCTCGTCCCGGGAGCAGCCCAAGCTGGCTGGGTTCCAGCAGTTTCTGCAGAGCCTGCAGCCTGGGGCGGCTGAGGGTGAGTCAGGGAGGCCAGGCAGAGCCGGCTGCAGGCAGGAAGGGCCATCCTCGCGTGTGGCCCTGGCTCAGGGAGGCCCCCTCCCGCCCGCTCTGCAGCTCCTGCAGCCCCCGCGGACGAGGGTGAGGCCAGGGCACCGCAGCCTGCGTCCCCGCTGATGCACATCGAAGGCTTCCTCGCCGCTCTCACCACGGCCAACCAGGATGGCAGGGTCATCCTGAGCCGCCGAGGTAACCTGGCACTTCCCGGCCTGGCTCAGTTCCCAAGAAGGAGCCAGCCTAGAGTCGGGCGTGAAGCGCTCGGGATCGCCACTGGCGCCCTCCTGGCCCGGGAGGAAACAGTGGTGGCCTCTGGCTTGCTGGGCCCGCAGGGGCAGTGGTGGGGAGGGAGGGAGGCGCAGGGATGGCGGACCTCTCGGGCAGGTCCTGGAGAATCCCTGTGGCCCTTGGTGACGGCGATGGCTAGGTGGGCTTTGGTGTGTCCTGGTTCTGTCACCTACGAGCTGTGTGCCTTGCCTCGGCGTCCTTATCTTTCTAAACCTGCTTCTGAGCCTCAGTGAAAAGGGAGAGGATGGTGCTGTTGACCTTGCAGGGCTGGTTGTCCTGGAGATGAGATGGGATTCAGCTTCGAGGGCAAGTGCTGCCGCCCGTGCCTCGTACACAGGCCGCCCGGGGAGCCCCTTTGCTGGGGCCACGGAAGACTGGGGGGCCTGTCCCGGCCCTTCCCACGTGTCTCTGTCCTTCCTCCAGAGACCCTCAGTCAGAGCAGCCTCAAATTCCTGCTCCTGAATCCAGCCGTGCCCTTTGCTCAGGTGGTGAAGGCGTGCCGGGCCGTGGTCATCGCAGGGGGCACCATGCAGCCGGTAAGGACACCAGCCCCAGCTGCTTGTGCCCAGGTACAGGAACGGGACTGGTATTGGCAGGTATAGGTATAGGTATCGGAAGGACGCAGCCCACTGGCCTCTGGCCTGTCCCTGGTCCCAAACCAGAAGGGGGTCAGCACGCACGGGCCCGGCCGTGCCACTAGGTGGCACTGCTGTACCGTCTCGCCACCTGTGCCCTTTAGGCTGGGGGTGTGGGGGGCAGCGGGAGCGCCCGTGCTGGTCCATATTTCTGTGGCTTAGCAGTCGGACCGTGCTTCTCTGGGAGAAAGACCGGTGGCCGCCACCTGTCGCCTGGGTGCCTGAGTGCCCTGCCCTTCCTGTGTCCACCACGGAAGTATCTAACGCATACATTTGTTTTCACATAGGTTTTAGAATAGTATTCTGTTTTCATTGTGGAAAGCAGAGACAAGCAAAAACAGGAAAAAAACAGTAGGAATTCTGCCAACAAAAGTTTCATTCTGGTGTATAGCATTATGTAGTAGTCTTTCTGTGCATAATTTTTATACTCGCATAATTTCTTTTTGGATCGGAGTCTCACTCTGTCGCCCAGGCCGGAGTGGCACGCTCACGACCACTGCAGCCTTGACTCGCTGGGCTCCGGAGATCCTTCCACCTCAGCCTTCCAAGGAGCTGGAACTACAGGGGTGCGCTACCACGGCCAGCTAATTTTTGATTTATTGTAGAGACGAGGTCTCGCCAGGTTGCCCAGGCGGGTCTTGAACCCGTGGGCTCAGGCAGTCCTCTTACCTCGGCCTCCCAAAGTGCTGGGATTATAAGCATGAGCTACTGCGCCCGGGTTTTTGGGGGTTTTTTTTGAGTTGGAGTCTTACTTTGTTGCCCAGGCTGGAGTGCAGTGGCACGCTCATGGCCACTGCAGCCTCGACCTGCTGGGCTCAGGCGATCCTTCAGCCTCAGCCTTCCAAGTAGCTGGAACCACAGGTGTGCGCCACCACACCTGGCTAATTTTTTGATTTACCGTAGAGACATGGTCTCGCCATGTTGCCCAGGCGGGTCTCAAAACCCTAGGCTCAGGCAATCTTCTCGCCTCAGTCTCCCAAAGTGCTGGGATTACAGACTTGAACCACCGTGCCCAGCCTGTATACATATTTTAAAAACAAAACAGTGATGGTATTATCTCTGCATGCTGTTCTAATTTGCCTTTTTCACTTGGCAACAGTGTCATAAGCATTTTTCCTTGTCAGCAAATATGTATTGACCCTTCCATACTCTGGCTGCATGGTATTCCAGTTACTCGGATATGTTTTATGTACCCACTCCTCTTGGTGGCTATGTGGACTGTTTCCAAAGTTTCTCTATTGGGAAAAACGTTTAGAAATCCAGATCTGGGTGCTGGGGTGTCTGTAACCCCTTGACTGTCACTGTTTGTAGGACATTTCAGCAGCCAGACCTAGGAAATGTGTTTTCAGAAGTCACAAGTCCATATTGGGATTTCTAAATAAAAATCAAAGGATTCATTTATCTGACCTTATATCTCTTTATCCCTTAAGCTGAATATTTGGGTATATTTTAACTTTTTTTTTTTGAGTTGGGATCTGTCACCTAAGTTGGAGTATAGTGGCATGATCACAGCTCATCATAGCTCAGGTGATCCTTCTGCCTCAGCCTCCTGAGTCGCTGGGACTACAGATGCATGCCACCATGCCTGGCTAGTATTTTTATTTTTTTGTAGAGACAGGATCTCATTGTTGCCCAGGCTGGTCTCAAAATCCTGGACTCAAGGAGTCCTCCTGACCCAGCCTCCTAAAGTGCTGGGATTACAAGTGTGTGCCACCATGGCTGGCCCAGATTGTTTTACATTAACATAACTATTTATCTGTTCTGTCTCACAGTATACTTAAAAGTCTCAAAATCATAATACCAGTATTACTTCTGAGAATGAAGCTGGTTGAATAAAGCCAGTTGAAGTTGCATTGCTTTCCTTTTCTTTTTTAGCTCTTAGAACATGTCTCACTAAAGGTGTGGGGTCAGTAGGCTACAAAGTCACTTGAAACCAGGCTTTGCTCAGTGTGCTGTGCTGTCCATTTGACAGACTACTGGGCTGTTTCGTTTACTTTTGTTTTCAGTGTTTTTTTTTTTAGTTGAAATCTCACTCTGTCACCCAGGCTAGAGTGCAATGGCACGCTCATGGCCACCCCAGGGTGATCCTTCCACCTCAAACTTCAAGTAGCTGGAACCACAGGCATGTGCCACCATGCTTGGCTCATTTAAAAAAAAAATTTATTGTAGAGATGAGGTCTTGCCATGTTGCTCAAACCCCTGGCCTCCCAAAGTGCTGGGATTACAGGCTGAGCCACTGCACCTGGCCTCTAGTTTTATTATTTACTTATTTTTACTTAACTATATTTTTTAAATGTGTAAACGCTTCTGTGGTTCAAAAGTCAGAATGACATGAAAAGACGCATCAGGAGCACCCCGCCTGCACCTGTCTCCCACCTGCTCTCCACCCTGTCAGGAACTAGTTTTAACAGCTACTGGTCTGGCCTTGTGGTGTTTCTTTTTTCTTTTTTTTCCCCAAATAAGTGAATGTGTGTCTTCACGTTTCCCTTTCCTTTTTCATGTCCATCTGGCGGTCACTCCTTTAGTGGGCTGCGTGGTTCTCCTTGGGTGGGCAGTCTCGCTATTGCAGGAAATCCTCACACACGTTACTTGGTGTCTGTGGTCTGTATCTTCGGGGCAGACTCCAAATACAGGATTCCTGAGTTAGAAGGAATCAACGTATTTAACTGTTAAGACACCAGCAGAATTCAGGGAATGCCTGTTTCTCTACAGGTGGCTACAGTTTTGGAGTTTGCCAGTCTGGCAGGTGAAGCCCCGATGATTCTTAGTAGTCTGGGTTAGGGCCTGGCCATGCATTTTTAAAATTTCCACTGAGCCGGGCTCGGTGGCTCAGCCTGTAATCCCGTACCTTTGGGAGGCTGAGGTGAGTGGATTGCCTGAGCCCGTGGGTTCGAGACCCGCCTGGTGAGCGAGACATCATCTCTACAATAAATCAAAAATCAGCCGGGCGTGGTAGCGCATGCCTGTAATTCCGGCTACTCGGAAGGCTGAGGTGGAAGGATCGCCGGAGCGCAGCAGGTCGAGGCTGCGGTGGCCAGGAGCGGCTACTGCACTCCAGTCTGGGCGGCTGAGTGAGACTCCAACTCAAAAAAAAAAAAAAAAAATTTCTACCGGTGATGTGGCCGCTAGCTGGGCTGAGGGTCACCGTGCCAGGTTTGTCGGGCTTCCTTTCCTGCAAGTCATGTAGCTGAGACTGCCGACACTGGGTCTGTTCACTGTTTTCCTCTTTTTGCTAATTTGCTGTCAGTCCTTTTTACTTTTCCCCCAGGTCGTAGTCTCACTCTGTCACCCAGGCTGGAGTGCAGTGGCATGCTCACGGCCACCGCAGCCTCAATCTGCTGGGCTCAGGTGATCCTTCAGCCTCAGCCTTCCAAGTAGCTGAAACTACAGGCTCAAGCCTCCATGCCCAGCCAATTTTTTGACTTGTTGTGGAGATGAGGTCTCGCCAAGTTGCCTGGGCTGGTCTCGAACTCCTGGGCTCAGGCCATCCTCTCACCTTGACCTCCCAAAGTGCTGGGATTATAGGCATGAGCTACCGTGTCCAGCTGCTGTCGGCCCTTTTTACTTCTTTTTTCTGTTCCGTGTGCTTGCTGCATCTTAGCCCAGACCTCTCACATCCTTCCCGCTGGGCCCTGAGGTCACCAGGGTCGACGCTGTGGTCTTGCCTGCAGGTGTCCGACTTCCGGCAGCAGCTGCTGGCGTGCGCGGGTGTGGATGCTGAGCGAGTGGTGGAGTTTTCCTGTGGTGAGGAGGGAGCTGTGGGGGGAGCAAGCACTCACGCCCTGGCCCCTGACACCTCGCGGAACCACACGCTTCCCAGGTGCAGGGGCTGAGGCGCCTTCCCTTGCTGGCCTTCTCGGTGCCCGCCCCCCGTGCCCTGCGCTGGCCCTGCTGCCCGCGCTGCCCGGCCTCACCGTGCGATGGTTGGAGTCGCTGTTCCTGGCCTGGACAGCGGTGGCGGGGAGGTGTCCTCCCTGACTGCAGCCGCGAAAGACCCGCACCTCCAGTTCTTGGCTTCTCCCCGGCTCTCCAGGTCACGTGATTCCTCCGGGCAACATCCTGCCCCTTGTCATCTGCAGTGGGGTCTCCGACCAGCCGCTGGAATTTACATTCCAGAAGCGAGAGCTGCCTCAAATGGTGAGTCCTGGCCGGCTTGCCTCACCGCAGCCTTGGCTGGCCCCGAGAGGGCTTCTCAGGTGGCGGGGGCCCTGGCCCAGCGAGTGCCCGGTGTTGGGAGAGCCCACGGGGCGCCCATCACAGAGCTGTGGGTGTTAGGAAGTTGTCCTCGGGCACCTGTCACCGAGCCGCACGAGATGAGTCTGGATGTTCACCACGGAAGGGCTGAGGCAGCCGTGGCCTCTGGCCCCCGCCCCTCAGCCGCCAGGTGTTTTGAAAACCTCTAGCATGCCCTTAGGACAACGTGCACAAGAAAGCAGCTCATTCCTTTGGTCCTCTGGCCGCCTTCTGCTCACATCCACCCCTGCCGTGGGCAGGGATGCAGGTCTTGGGGCACACCTCCAGTGGCAGCCTGGGGGGTTCGGTGCTGGGTTGTCGTTGATGGTGCCCTCAGGACATGGGGAGTGGAGGAAGGGCGGACAGGGCCGTGGCAGGAGGACGCCGCCTCTCTGGGGCCTGGGGTCGGGATGTGTGCCCGAAAGGCAGCCACTCGGAGGCCGTGGGCGCTGTTGGTGGAGTGTGGCGCCCTCCACCTGTGGTCCCCACCCGGGGAGCCACGGGCCAAGTCCCCCCCGCTGGCTGTCGTCACACCGTGGGCTGCTGTCCCTGGCTCTGAGCCCCGAGGTGGCCTCGGGTTTGCGCCACCAGGCCCTTGTCTTCCTCAGATGGACGAGGCAGGTCGTGTTCTCCACCACGTGTGCAATGTGGCTCCTGGAGGCGTGGTCTGTTTCTTCCCCTCCTACGAGTACCAGCGCCAGGTCCGTGCCCACTGGGAGAAGACGGGCATGTTGCGCCGCTTGGCCATCAGGAAAAAGGTGAGCAGCCCCCTGCCTGGCCCTCCCACTCCTGAGGACGGCGCCACCGGCTCCTCCCGGGCTCCCTTATGCTCAGCCAGTCGGGAGGGGTGGGCTTCTCCCAGTGCCTCAGCCCCCTACCCCCAGTCCCTGAGGACAGAGGGTGCCTTGGCCCCGACTCTGTGACGCGCTCAGGCCAGGTGTGCGGCACTTGGGCCCCGGCCCGAGCCCCTCCCTGGAGACGTTCTCTGTCCGCCTGCAGATATTCCAGGAACCCAAGAGCGCCCAGCAGGTGGAGCAGGTGCTGGCAGAGTATGCCAAGTGCATCGAGGTGAGATGCTGTGCCACGCCTGGGTCTGGAGACCGTGCCTGGCGGCTGGCAACAGCATGGGTGATGCCCAGGCTTCGGCTTGGCCTCTCAGGCTGGGTCTCCCCCGCAGGGCTGTGACCAGGCAGGAGGCCGGGTGACGGGGGCCCTGCTCTTCTCCGTGGTTGGAGGGAAGATGAGTGAAGGGCTCAACTTTGCCGACAGCCTCGGCCGGTACGGCGCGCCCCTTCCTGTCTCCCGGCCGTCCCTGCTCCGGGCAGCTGGGCCCATCTGCAGACGCTGAGTCCGCAGCCAGGCTGTGACCGCCTCGCCGAGGGGGTTCAGCAACTCTGGCCTGGCCCTTTGATCGGGGGGAAATGGGGCAGACCCAGTCGCGGCTCGGTCTGCCAGCCTAGGTCGACTCTCTTAGCGGGGCGAACCTCTGCCCGCTGGCGGGTGCCGGGTGGGAGCAGCAGAGCTGCCAAGCACAGCCGGAGAGGGCCATGGATGGGCGGGACACGGCAGCAGGAACACGCGCGTGGTGCCCCCATGTCCTCGGCCGTGTCTGCCCCAGGTGCGTCGTGATGGTGGGCATGCCCTTCCCCAACATCCGGTCTCCAGAGCTGCAGGAGAAGATGGCCTACTTGGACCAGACCCTCGTGAGTATCCCCAGAACTCCCGAGGAGCTGGGTGGGCGTGGTGCCGCCCCGAGGGCGGACGACGAGGCCTCTCAGCCGGACCCTGCTGGCCGACGTCCTGTCCACTCGGAGCTGGCGCACCTCCAGACCCTCCTGTCTTCTCTGACATCTCCCGTTACACCTGCTGCTGGCAGTGGCCCGTGGAGCCTCGTGTCCTGGCCCCAGAGCCCGGCAGGGCCTCTTCCCAGGGAGGGCTCGGCCGAGCCAGTCCTGAGGGTCTGCTTTCCACCTCCCAGCCCCGAGCCCCAGGTCAGCCCCCGCCGGGGTCGGCTTTGGTGGAGAACCTGTGCATGAGGGCCGTCAACCAGTCCATAGGTGAGCCGGCGGCGCTGCTGGCGAGAATGGACGGGGGGCTGGGAAGGGACCCACCGGTGCTGCCTCCCACCTGAGGGCGCAGGGAGGGAGGAGGGCCCCCGCTGTGGCTTGGAGCCCAGCCCCTGCGCTCGTGCAGGCCGGGCCATCAGGCACCAGCAGGACTTCGCCAGCATAGTGCTCCTGGACCGGCGCTACGCGCGGCCGTCTGTGCTGACGAAGCTGCCGGCCTGGATCCGCACCCGAGTGGACGTCAAGGCCACCTTTGGCTCTGCCCTTGCTGCTCTGCGGCAGGTCAGTCTGGCTGCCGCCTCCCCCGGGGGCCCCACCCGAGATCTGGTTTCTCACTGCCTTCTCCCGTCTGCAGTTTCACCGGGAGAAGTCCGCCTCTTCCTGACGCGGCCCTCCCCTCGCCCCGCCCCTGGAGACGGCGCTCGCCTTGGGCCTGCTCTGCAGGGAAGCTGCTTGGGAACGGGGACCCCAGTGCTGCCAGGGTCCAGGCACGGGCAGAAAAGCCAGCAGGTGAAAACCAGGTGGCTCCCCAGGAAGCTGGGCCTGGTCCTCCCTGGCCCCCACCCTGCAGCCCCCTCGCCGGGCTTGTCTCCTTCCCCTCCAGGCCTCCCGGGGAGCTGGGCCAGGCCCTGCCCGCTCTAGTCTGATGAGCTCTCTGGACGTTCGCCCTCGTCTCAGCTGAAACAGTCCCCACGTCCAGCCCCCTGGTGGCCAAGGGCTCCTCCTTCCCCTGAGCCGCTTCCCTGCTGCAGTCCTGTCCCCTAGCTGTCCACAGTCCTCCCCGGTTCTCCCGGCCTGGCCCCAGTTCCTCCTGCGAGTCAGTGGCGCCTCCCTCCGGCTCAGCCACTTGAGCAAACTCCAGGACACCTCCTCTCCTGACAGCAGCAATTATGCCAAGGGCCATTAGGCTCTCAGCATGACTACTTTCAGAGACCCCCGTGTCAGTCACCGAGACTTTGCTTTCTGTGGGAAGACACCCCTCCCGTCCTCAACATCGCCCTGCTGCCCGACTGCTCCTCTCCCTCTGCCCCAAGGAAGGGTCCTCGGTCCACTGGAGGCTCTGCCCCCGCTGCCTAGGGACCTCCAGGGACAGGACAGTCACTGCCTCTGAGACGTTTCATCCTGATGGCTACAGTTCCCTTAATTAAAAGCGCGGAGCTGGTTTCTGCTTGGTTCTTGTGTTACCCTTTATTGGTTTGTGTCACTGTTTTCTCGGACTCTCTTTGGGAAGAGAGCACTCTGGCGTGGGGCAGTGAGCAGTCACAGCGCGCCCAGCGGAGAGACGCTCCCGCCCCAGCCCTGTGGCCCCAAGCCGGCTGCCCTCCTCGAAGAAAGACCAGGCCAGCCGGCCTGCCCTCCACCATCCCCGCCCACGTGGGAGCCGAGTGGAGGCCCGGGCTGTCCCCACATTGGGACGGCAGCTCCAGGCCGGCGCGGCGGGGGAGGGAGTGGTGCAGCCTCTAGGAGTCCCAGTCGTCCTCGTCCTCCTCTCCCTGAGGCTGCTGCGGAGGGGGCAGCGGAGGGATGGAGTCCGACATCCGTGCGAAGGCGCCTCCGGGCCCCTCGCCGGCCCCGGCCGCAGGTCCTTTCCCGGAGATGCCTGGGAGGGGGAAGCCGGGCGGGGCGGTAGAGACTTGGACAAAGGAGGCTGTGGCCTGGGACGCTCGGCCCTCCCAGAAGACAGCCGCTCCCTTACCTTTGCGCCTCATGACCAGCTTGTTAAAGAGGTCCGACATCAGGTCCCCGCCTTGGCTTGTGGCCCTCACTGCAACAGGAAAGCCACGGGGGGCACACTCAGTCAGGGCCCCCCGGCTCCCGATCCCCACCTCAGACTCCTGGGCCCTTTGCGGCCCCAAGTTCACCACACGTGTTTGGGTCTTCGGTCTGCCTCGGACCCGGCACCGGGTACTCAGAAAACGGGGACATTCGAGGAAGGTTCTCCCAGCCACCCTGGGGGACATAGGCCGGTGTGAGCCTGCCCCACAAGGTGGGTGAGGAAACCGGCCCTGAGAGCTGGGGCAGATTGCCCGGGGCCACAGGCAAGCTGGCAACAGCGCTGGGACGCAAGCTCAGGACTGCGGGCCCCAGGGCGCTGCTGCTTCTGCCTGGGCATCACGTGCCCGCCCGTGGCTCACAGCAGACATGCTCGGTCGTCTCAAGGGACTCGCAGAAGGAGGACTGCACTACCCTCAGGTCCTGGCTAAAAATAGCTCTGGCTCCTGACCGCTGCTTGGACAATTCTGGGCAGAGTCGAAGAAGGTTCTCTCTTGTCCGGGTTTGGGCTGGAGGAGCTTGGCAGAAACGACCCCGCAGGCTCCTGGCAGGAAGGGGCGGGCCTGGCCCAGCAGGGGATGAGGCTGTGGCAGTGGCTGCCCAGGAAGCACAAGCTGGCTGTGGGACAAGCGCACCCGCTCCGCGCCGTGGGCAGAGAGCAGCCCGGTGGACTCGGTGGTGTTGGCGGGGAGAAAGCCCTTGCGGGCAGCCGCCACCTGCAGGCCCGGGGCCCCTCACCTTGTTCCTGCTCCTTCTGCTTCTTCTTCTCCAGCTTGCGCTCCTTGACGCTGCGCAGCTTGGCCTTGCCGATGCCCCCGGCCTGGCGGATGGACTCCAGTAGGGTGGCCCGGCCGCTGGAGGGGTCAACCACCTCCTTGGGGGCTCCCTGGACTGGAGCTGGGAGGCGGACGGCCACTCAGGCAGGGCAGGGGGGCAGCCTCGCCCTGCCTAAGCTTCTTGAGAATCCTGGCTGGGAGGGAGGGTGCCTCTCTTACCCCCATTCCCTCGCCACCCTCTGCAAAGGATTTCAGTGCCATTTCTGGAGATGGAGAGATGTAACGTGAAGACCGAAGTGTTGTAATTTTGGGGACATTGAAGACTGTGTTCCTGTCATTTTCTAGTTTTTTTTGAGTTGAAGTCTCACTCCGTCACCCAGACTGGAGCGCAGTGGCCGCTCTCGGCCACTGC